TTATTGAATTTTATTTATTAAACTTATTTTTAGAGTAAATTTTTTACACCTTTTTATTTTGAAATATAATATTTATAAAATTTTTTATTCCTGATTATTTATTATATTTTTTAATCAAGTCTGAAATTTTCTTCCGTGGGGAAAATTTCAGACTTAAAAAATTCATAAAAAATGGATAAAAAACCATATAAATATAATTTATAATATTATAATTTTTTTAACCTATGAATCATTGGTATACAAGAGTGCTTGAATTATAACTATACGGTCCTGTTGTGAAATTAGTTGAGTTTCTACGAATCAAAGGAAAACTTAAAAGGTACGTCTAGTCTGTATCTTGTAATCAAAATATTGTAACAAGATCATACTCAAGAAACAGAGATGGTTTGGTGTTTAGGTGCTTTACTACGAGTTGTATAAATTATAAAAAGTACTTCTCAATTCGTACCAAGTCATTGCTATCTAACTTGAATGTACCGTTGAGTAGCATACTAAAGTGTGTTTTAAATGGTTAAATAACCATACTCAAGTACAAATATGGTCTGAGGTTAATGTGGGTAAGGACAGCATAATAAAAATAATTGATCTTCTTAGAAGACATTGTTTTAATTATTATGTTAAAAACCCATTTGTCTTAGGCGGTGATGGTATAATTGTTTAAATAGACGAAAATTTATTTAGACATAAACCGAAGTACCATTGTGGCTGACAACCAGAACGTGAAATCTAGGTGTTTGGATTAGCTTATGTATCATACACACCGGCTAAAATTTCATTGGATTTAGTTCCAAACAGGGTCGGAAGTACACACAAACCTATTATTGAAAGAGTTTGTGCTCCTGGTATAGTTATGCATTCTGATGAGTAGCGCGCTTACTCAGGTATTAATAGTAGATTGAGATTTTTTCACTCTACTGTAAACCACAGTGAGTCATTTGTGAATGCCTTTACAAGTGTTTATACTCAAAATATTGAGGGTGCTTGGAATAGATGTAAGTATCTATGCAAGATGTATAAAAGAGTTTTAGCATCAAAGATGGAGTTAATTTTAATGAATTTATGTGGAAGACCAACATTGGTTATGATAAGAAATTTGAAGATTTATTCAACTTATTAAGATTTGAATAAAATTTGGTTATTATTTTTTTATTAAGGGGGAATTTCTGTGTTGTTATTATCAGGGTAAAATTTCAGACTTAATCCTATTTTTTAAATAAAATCAAATTGGTTTAAGTTTAGAAAATATAGTAATTCATTATAATCAAAAAATTATATATTTTAAATAAATTTTCTTCACTTAGAAGAAAAAAAGAGACCCTTTTTATTTTGAAAGTCACTGTATTATTAGAATTAATTTTTTGATATAAATAGTTTAAAATAATATCATGTTCCTTATAAAATTAAAGGGTTAATTTTTAGAAATACCAAATTCTTCATATTTTATATTAACATGTTTTAGATAAACATTATTGTTATGATGTCCTCCAAAATTCTAGAGC